GCCTGGAGGCGTTCCTGTGCAACCTAGTCTATGGAATAATTGTTACCAATATCTGCTGCTTCTCTAGTAGCTTTTCCACCCCTCATAGCACTTGAACTTTGCATAGGATACTAAAAGTCAAAGGAAATGGAAAGGGGAAAAATATAAGAGGAGGGTTTCCACTATTTCCTGTAAAGAGGAAATTATGCCTGAGAATAGGACAGATAGTAATGGGCTATATTGGAGAAAGTCCAGCTCATGGTAAAGAATAAGAAAATTATTTTGAGTTACCTACCCGAATAACTTATAGGGATAGTCAGAGCTCCATCAGCTGAAGTTGTTAAATGTTTTTAAACATATATTCATCTAAGTATAATTGATCCTTCCATAGAACCAGAGGGATGGACTAATGAAGTTTTTCAGTTCTGTTTTTTGTTGTTTTCTTAGGCTTATGCAGTCTTAAGAATTTAATGTTCCTGTTTACCTTGCTATTCAATGATTCCTCACCTATTTTTTTTCTTTTCCATTTTTAGATGCAGACATCAGTGAGTCTGGTATTTCTGTTAGAAGCACTGGTTCAGCTGCTTCTATGACCAGCCAAGGTGAGCGAAAGAGAAGGACACTTCCACAGCTTCCCAAAGAGGAGAAAGTGAGTGAAACCTCAAAAGTGAAAAGTACATCTCATCAGAGATCAGAAATAGGTGAAAAGCAAGACACTGAACTTCAGGAGAAAGAAACTCCAGCTCGTGCCTCTGATGCTGACAGCAGAAGTATAGCTAAGTCAAGCAGAACAACAAATGGTCTTTCTCCCAAAGCTACTGGAGACAAAGTTTTTTCTTTCCCCACCTCTTCCAATAAAGAGAGAGTTGAAACTGGCAGAGAAACTTCTGTGGTGAAACAAGCTTTAGCAAAAATTCAGCAACAAGAAAGAAAGGAGCAAGGACACTGGACACCCACAAAATTATCCTCTACAAAGCCTGCTGCAAACCAGGTTGAGAAAGGTAGGGAGGAGATTTCTATGTCACCCAAAACTGCGGATAATCAAGACAAAGCTCCTGGCCACATTACAGATAAAGCAGAAATGAAATTGGCACAGAGCGAGGCAAAAAGAAGAAAAAATGAAGAAACTATTAAAGGACAAAGTCCTAAAGCATCTGGAGGAGAAAAGAAGGAATCTTCAAAACCATTAGTGAGGCAAGGTAGCTTTACTATAGATAAGCCTAGCACAAACATACCTATAGAACTTATTCCTCACATTAATAAGCAAAGTGGATCTGCTGCCCCCTTACCATCTGCAAACAGGATACGTGACAGAAGTGATTCAATGGACACTGATTCCAGTCTAGATACAACACTCATTTTAAAAGACACAGAAGCTGTAATGGCTTTCCTTGAAGCTAAATTGCGTGAAGAAAAAGAAAATAAAACTGATGAAGGTCCTGAGACTCCTAGCTATAACAGAGACAATTCCATATCACCAGAATCAGATGTAGATACAGCCAGCACAATCAGTCTTGTTACTGGTGACACTGAAAGAAAATCCACACAGAAACGAAAGAGCTTTACAACATTATATAAAGATAGATGTTCCTCTGGTTCCCCTTCAAAGGATGTTTTAAAATCTTCTGCAACAAGTGCCAGAGAAAAGATGGAAAAGAAAACTAAATGTAGATCTTCAGATGGTGGGTCTAGAGCTGATGGCCGCAAAACTGTGCAATCCAGTGGAAGAATGAGACAGCCATCAGTAGATTTGACAGATGATGACCAAACATCTAGCGTACCTCATTCTGCTATTTCTGATATCTTATCATCTGACCAGGAAACCTACTCTGGCAAATCACATGGAAGAGTTCCTTTTGCCTCAGCAGACGAACTTTTACATTCCAAAGCAGAAGGAAAGTCAGCCAAATCAAAAACATCTCCTGTTGCTCTTGGGCAGTCTAGTAAATCTACCACTCTTCCGAGGCCTCGTCCTACAAGGACTTCCCTCTTGCGCAGAGCACGACTTGGTGAAGCCTCAGATAGTGAGCTTGCTGATGCTGATAAGGCTTCAGTGGCTTCCGAAGTGTCCACTACAAGTTCTACATCAAAACCTCCATCAGGGAGGAGAGGTATTTCCAGAATAGACTTACTTGCTCAGCCTCGCAGAACTCGACTTGGCTCTTTATCAGCACGTAGCGATTCTGAAGCAACAATAACTAGAAGCACTGCCTCATCTCGTACCCCAGAAGCTATTATCAGAAGTGGTGCAAGGTTAGCGTCAGCAGGAGATAGCAGTAAACTTTCTGCTAGAACTCGAGCCAATAGCATTTCTCGACTTTCAGATTCAAAATCCAAATCTTTGGCGTCAGCTCATAATTCTCCTTCAGGTAAGTGAGATAATTTGACCTAGTCTTATGCAATACTAGATGGTTCTTATAGATGGAATTTTTAAATTTATTTTTTTATGGAAACATTTTTATGAAGCATTTATTGAGTTTTAGTTGATGCAGTCTTTCTCTTTGGAGGAAGAGGCTTTCTTGGCAGGGCTTGTGGATATTTCTCACTTAAAATCACAAAGACAAGAATTTGTAATCCTTTAACTGTCTTGAAATTTTTTTAAACCGGATACCGGTAACAAAGAGTTGCATTGAGGCATTCAGATGTGACAGTACTGTTTTGCATCAGTACTAAAAGAGCAGAGATCTCTTTGTTCAGGTCATAGTAGTAGAAGTTCAGAAAGTCAGCAGCACTTTTCACTACATAGCAGACAGAATATTTATTTGTAAGGTAGGCTTCTAAATGTGCTGAACAACAAGTGTTCCCCAAGGTATGCCCTGAGCATCTATAGGATAACTATATTTATCATTTAAAATTAGTTTCCAGAGCTACAAAAGTGAGACTTGTTTGGTAAAAGTAACAACAGTGAAGTAACAAATGGAAAAATTAAACAAAAACACTACCTTACTGTATATTGTAAAGTTAAGTAATTTATATTAAAATGTTTGCCTTGCCTCAGAGTAGTTTGTGTTCTCTGTTCCAAATCATGACTAATTATGATTTCATCATGATTTCCAAACTACATTGATCTTTCTTTGTGTAGTATTTCCCTTACTATAACATTACCTTATGGAAGGAAAAGTCCATACAATTAATGAATTTTTACCTACTGTTGAGGTACAATTTAACACTTTAAGTGCAAGCAGTGTGAAAGGCTGCTAGTTTTTTTCAACAGCAATATTAAATCAATCAAATTGAAATTTGGCAATTCTAAATAAGTCAACTTTTATGTGGAATAAACATCTAAAATTGATGTCCTCTTGCTTTTTGAATTGTCATACTACCAGCTTGACCATACTTGAAGCCAATTCACAATCTAAGAAAAAATAAATAGAATACCTTCCAGTGCTGTGTCACTACTAAGATTATATGTTCTTCACTGCTTCCCATTCTTAGCTGATATGAACATCCATGATAGTTTCCCACATTCCTACTGCCCTTTTGTTGCCTGTATATCATAAATGTACCTTCTTAGGACTCTTAGCAGTGCTTATTCCACAAACAGGGGGCTTTGGGCAGTGTCATTTTGTCAGCTGAATAGAAATTTCTGTGGAGATACAAATGAGGTGTTCACTGAACTATAAAGTTTAATCTGTTTAACATGAGAGGTGTCTATAAAGATATAAAAAAGGTGAAACTTCAGAGAAATACTCAGTCTTTCCTTGTAAGACATCATTGGAAAAGTAGCATATTTTCATTTTTAATCAAAGTTTTAAGTGTATGTGTGCAGCCTGAAAGGTGGCAACATTAGGTCAGGGAAGAGTGCCAGTTAAGACTTCTTTTGTATGTTTACCTTAATAAATAACACTAGTTCACATCATGATATTGCTGATTTTTGAAAAGGTAAATCTCAGCTGTTACTTGTCACTTTGCTGCTTCTTGCGTTTTTCACAAAACCGTGTATGGATTTTAAGTTTTGTGTCCAGGTGAACTACTGCATGCTTCCTAGCCTTTTCCCAGGGTGCTGCATTACTACGCCATTCAGGGGAGTGAGTGGTTGTATCTTTCTCTTCCTCATCTACTAGTCCATCATGGTCATCTTTGTTTAATGTTCACTTCATTTATCTGCATTACACAAAGTTCATTGTAGCTTGTGTAAAATGCTCTATTTTCAAGAGAGAAAAGATGCCATCTTCTGATGAGCTGCCCCAACATAATAAGCTAGGTATTTTTAAAAGACCATTTTTAGAAAAATCTACAGTAGAAATAGCTTCTGTCATAAAAAGCCTTATCAGTTTATATAGGAAAATCAAGGAGAAGCCTGTGTCAATGTAAAGGTAAAAATCTGAATGCAAATAATAAAGCAGTCTGAGACTTTCAAAACAAAATCACAGTTTAATAAATCAATCAAGTCTTGTTACTATGTAAGAAAAGAATATTATTACTACTGTTTAGGATTTGGATTTCCAGATTTTATCTGTATCTGTAAGCTTACTGCAAATTTTTTTAACTGGACTGTTTAGAGTACACTTGAGGAAAATCTGAATTGCTTTAAAAGTGCAAAAACTCTCTCCTGTTACATATAGGGCACTACTCAGTACATCCCCATTTTCCCATTCACATCTTATAAAATGATGCTAATAACTACCCAATGCATCAAGTTATTAGTAATATTATTTATTATTTTATCCTTAGATAAACATATTTACAACACCTTTCAATAGAGTGTTTTGCTTGTATGCAATATTTGAAAATGTAATGTAGCAGAAGCTTTTAGATCCAAAGCACATAGTTCCTGAATTTAATTTTGTTTCTAGAAAAGTCAACAATTCACTTAATTTTGGCATTTTTGGATATTACTAATGAAGTGCCTGATAAAAGTGCCTCAACTGTGAATGTGTTTTACTTCAGGCACATTTAATCAAGGCATAACAGTGATGTATTTTTTTTGTCTCCTTGGACCCAGAAAGACTGGAAAATGAATGATTATTACTAATGTAGAGTTTGGGTTTGTTGTTTTTTTTGTTCTACCAGAAGACTGATTGTTCTTAAAGTATTAAAAATGTTCCATGGATCTTCTCATCAGAGTTCAGTTAAAGTTTCCACATTGTAGATTACTGAGCATTGGCAGCAGAATCTTGCTTCTTAAATCTAGACCACCAAAGAGAAAATTATTTCTGCATTTCCCAGATCTTTTTGAATGCTCAAACATATATGCCTGTAAAAAAGGGGCAGAAAAAGCTGTAGTCACTGGAATTATTTTTTTTATTGTCTTCTACGTCATGTGGATGAATTCCAACATAATAGCTTTAAAATTGCCGGAGCTGTCAGCAAGTCCCTAATTTCAAGAATCTTTCTTAAGTCTTGATACAGTTAAGTATGGCCTGCTATGAAATGAAAGGGCGGGAAGATAAATGGAATGTCTTGGATGAGAATTACCAGCATTAATGTAATTACCAGGATGTTTTGTGGTAGGAGGCTTGAGAACTGACAACACTGTGAAGAGATGTGAAGCAGAATTAGTAATTTTATAGCGCAAGCAGTAGCAGATTTAATCAAGGCACTGAATCATCAAACAGCAAAGTGTGATCAGTAAAAGAAGAAAACCAAAGACCTTTTTTCATAATTGTGGCAGAAAATTGAAGCTGATGTTACGGAAGGAGCTATGTATTGGGAAAACGAACAGAAGGATCACACCTAGTGCAGAAGTGCTAAACTGCAACTGTAAAATTAAGCAGAGTCAGAACAGAGAGACCTTGAGCAACTGGTTGTGTTCTGCTGGGTTGTTGCCCTAGCTGTCACTGCAGATTACTAGCAGACAGCATCATCAAAGCTGTTGAGGTATCTTGGCGGGGGGGAAGTTAGAGTACAGAGAGAAAACAACCATTAACTGCACTTTAGCGTTTTTGCACTACTGAGCACCAAATTTCAGGATCTTTGAAATGGATGAGCCTTGAGAAGGCAATGCATCAATGAGACTAGAGTATTTTCTAAGTGATCTGCTTAGTAAAGTCTGTCCTCAGATCTTAAAAGTGAGATTATGATGCCCAAGTCATTAAATTTGCCATCTTAAGGTGTTGTGAACAAATTGTACTTCTCACAGAGTAGTCACAAAATTATGTTTGTCTGTTGATTATTTTAGCCAGGGTTTTAGAGCATTTTCTAGTTAATGGTGCTGATATTCACAGTTTTTAGTATCTGACATAAATAATTGCACGGTAGCTTTCAGAAGTCTGTATCAACTACAATGACATTTTTGGGCTGCTTAATTTATAAATAGTATTAAAAGCATATATGTGCTAATGTATAGGTAGCTTAATGGGAAACATGCTTGGATATTGCTTGTCATGAATCATACAATTGTGAGATTTTTATTGTTAAGCCTACAATAATTTTCCCCATATTTATGAGAAACCTGCTGATAATCTATAAATAAACAACATTTTAAGGCCTTAAAATTTAATAGTCTTAAAAAATGTGGAGAGATTTTATGATACTATGTAGACAGTTGTTACTGATGTCATTTTAGTTACTATCTCTGGTGACGTTTTTACAAACTTCATTATTTTTGATTGAATGTATAATTTCAGAATCTTTTTCTAAAAGGTGCGTGTGGAAAAGAGGACCTAAGACTAATCTCATCAATATATTTTATTTAAGCAAATGCTTCTAATCTGAATGTTTTAATACAAATTAACATGATAAAACACTATTTTGTACACAGAGAAATCCAAGCTTCTCCCAGACCCAGATCCTGATGTTGAAACTTACAGTGGTAGAGTACTAGAAATCAAATCTGTTTCTGATATTTCACTTCTCATTAAATTTTTAGTTTTTTAAATCTATGACTACATATGCTCATTGTACAGTGGTGAGTTGCTGGACTAGCTCACTTGAGGGATAAATTTTATGTTTATTTTGATGCATATAATTTGAACCAGGACAAAGAATTTAAACAAAAATTGATGATAAAATGTGGACCCAACTCATAAAGCTCTTTGGACTTCGGTCACACATTGCTTGCATGCTGTTGGTGGGAAAATGTGCTTTTTCTGCTTATATTCTACTTCCCTAAGATCAAAACAGGTTTGAAATCTCTAAACAGAGAACAGTAAGTGACTGGAGAGACATTTTTATTTTCATCAATAAAATTGGTATACAAAAAAAGAAAAATTAGTAGAAGTGGACTTGATTTGAAACCCACATTTAAACCTGAAAAAAATTACACAAGAATATTTTCAGCATTTAATGCAAAAAAAAGTGCATTATTTATATGAGGGAAGGGAGGTAAGCTTATACACCAACGTCATATTCTGCATATTGTAATCTTTGAGAGAATTACACAAATATTTTCTCAACTGAAAATTCATTATTCATGTTGATGTATCTACTTTATTTGTAATTTTTTTTAAATGTTTCAGAATAAATCATTCTTCTTGCATTTTGCTTATGCTAAAACAATATACATTACTTGATTCTATGTTCAAATTACCAAGAGGTGGTCACGCGCTTCTGAAAGTTTCTACAGTAATTATAGAGCCCCTTGAATGTCAGTGAGTTTGGGGGGCTAAAATCCCCTGCAAGACTTGAGCGGGTTGTCGTGACGAGCATCTCTTTACACTCAGTGATATCTCTTCCTGCCAGGAATGTTTGAGGACAGCATACCTGAAATGCTTTTTCTAGATGTTAGGAATTCATAGAGGGACGAAAGCCTCCTACTTAGTTCCAGTTCTCTGATACTCCAGGCTGTCTTCAGCAGCACGTCTCTATGTGCTATCTGTGCTACATGTGACAATATATGCTTTTTGCCCTGAGGCTGCCTATTTTTGTAACACAATATTAACTTTAAAATATTTTTTCTGTACCAAATACATAATGCATCATTTAGGATTTTTATGCTTTCCTTATGGAAGTGTGCATTCCAGACTTGGTGCCAGCTCCATCCTTCCTTCTTGTCTCATCATTTTCTTTTGTGTATCATGTAAACCTTGAATGAAACAGGGAAAAAAAATCTGCAGAAAAAGTGCAATCTGACTATATTCTTAAATGATAATGAATTGGGCCCTTGTTTTGTAATACAGTTTGCCTGAGCTCAGATACAGTTACTGGCTTTTACATCTTATTTCACTCATCATTATACAAAGAGCATCCATTTTATGGTTTTATTAATCAATATTTATTATTTAACACAAATTTTGTAGCTTTCTTTTTAAGAAGTAGTAAATAAACCTTTTGTGAGGAATCTGGGCGTTGATAATGAATAGTTGTATATTTTTGTGCTGTTACTGAAATAATATTGTTTTTTCTTATTTAAGATGCAATAATAATTCTTTTTTAATAATTAAACTAATTTAGTAAGTGCAAGATGGAGGCGCTTTCCTACAGATTATGCTTCCACCTCAGAAGATGAATTCGGATCAAACCGTAATTCCCCTAAACATACCCGTCTACGTACCTCTCCAGCCCTGAAAACCACACGACTGCAGAGCACGGGAACAGCAGCTCAAAGCAATACATTCAAGCACAGAATAAAGGAACAAGAAGACTACATTCGCGACTGGACTGCTCACCGAGAAGAAATAGCAAGGTTGGTTTTCAAGGAGTGCCTCTAAAATAAAATTTGTACGCAGCCAGTTACAGAGGTACATATGTAGGAGCAAGAAAGCTCATGAGTTTTCTGTATCACTCTACTTACCATTTTCATTCAATACCTGAATGGGTAATTAAAAATCTTCTTACGAGAGACTGGCAGACAGAACACTCGTGTTACCAGCACATCTCTTTCTAATGGAAAATTATAGTAATTTCTGACTTATAATAGCCAGACCTCAGAATATGGTGCATTTCCTGAGGCCGAAGTATACCTGATTTTGTACTACCTTTACATTCCTATTGAGGTAAAATTTCAGATCAATGCATAGGTGTCAGAGAGAGGAAAAAGTTATTTTCATAATGTGAGAGACCATATTCTCATATTTATTTTCGATTTTTCTAGATGTAATTTCATGTTAGATATTTTCTGATTGAAATCATGTGTATATATCAAAAAATATTTTTTGCTGTGAGCCCCAAGATTAGTATTGCAACTCCTCCCTTATTGCTAATAGCACTCTGCCTCAAGTGAACCAAGGAAAAGGTCAGTTCTGCATTCTAGTAACCAGTTATTCCCATATCATGCTATACTCAGGCAGTGAAAACTTCAAATAGCTTGCACTAAATAAATAAAACTATGTAAATATAAATGTTATTGAAAACTTCGATGCTAGTGTTCAGGTTCTGAACCTTTTCACAGAACTTGATTTGGAAGCCTAAACAAGAGAAGTGTTTTCTCTTCAAAATTATTCTTAACAGTGTGGCCACGCAGATGTGGAGCATTGTGTTTTGCTTAGTGTGCTTAATTATTTTTTGGTTTTCCAGATTTGTTTTTCTAGTTACTCTGAAAGAAAACCTCTTCAAAGTCATCCTCTTAAAATATCTCTCTGTTTCCAAGAATTCAAAGTTAGAGATGGCTATAGGGAGGAATGTATGTATATGGGGAAAAAAATTGAGGCTAGTCATAGCGCATCACTTCTTCCTTATAAAAAGTGCTGCGAAACCTCTGCTTCAGTGAAACTTCGTGGTATATTTTGCTCATCCAGGAGAGATTGACACTGGAAGTAATTGACGAGTCAGTCTAAATTTACTTGACAGTTAGGTTTGTGGGGTTTTTTCTTCCTTTGGGCTTCTTACCATTTTCTTCATTTAGGTTCTGGTTTTAAATTTGTTTGAAGGCTGTGTCCTTGCCCTGCCTTTTTCAGCTTTATTTCCAGTGAAAGTGGTGAGAGGCTCAAATCGGTATTGCCAAATTTGTGATTGTGTATAGAAATTTCACACAAACTGCATTAAATGAGCATTTCTAAAGTTAAGAAAGCTAGCAGTCAGCACTGGAGAAATGCCAGACTACTGTCACCTATTGTCACTGTGTCCAGCACCGATTTCCTTGGTGTCCTCTGCTCTCAGTCACTACTTGATCCTTTCCGTGCCTCCACTTCTCTTTGTACTGATTCACAGCATTGCTCCACTGGCTCTAAGTTTAACTTCTGTACTTTATAAGATTATTTTTGTCTCTGACCCCCTTGCCCTGGTAACCATAGTCTACCCTCTATCATTTTCTACCTTGTTTGGTATGGTTTGGTTTTTTTAATTCCTAACCCTCAGTCCAGTCACTATGATTAGTGGCCCTTCATCTCTGTATAGAGTTTTTTAAAAAAGGAAAAATTATCAAAAGCTGCAGTTAAAAAGTTGCTTTTATGGTTGTACAAATAAATTTTCGGCATGCACATTTTCGTAGCACCATTACGAGTACCTAAAACTTGAAAGCTCAAAGGCTGCAGGTTGGGCTCTACTGGTGCAGAAGTGTTTGCGGGAAAGAATGTAACGCTGTCTTTGTTACTAGGATCAGTCAAGATCTCGCTCTCATCGCACGGGAAATCAACGATGTAGCAGGAGATATAGATTCAGTGACTTCATCAGGCACTGCCCCCAGTACCACAGTAAGCACTGCTGCCACCACCCCTGGCTCTGCCATAGACACTAGAGAAGAGGTAGGAGATCTTCATGGAGAAATGCATAAGGTTCTTCCTTTTCTTTATTTCTTTTGCTTTTAGCATTTTGCATAGCCTTTTTTATTTATTTCCCCTCAACCCGTGTGCATGATCTCTACATTGTTTTTTGATTTAAAGTTCCTTTACGTTTCAACAAACAACCCAGAAATTATTCTACGAACACATCTTGTCAAAAGGATGCATACTATCTGTCTGTCTCTTTTTTTCCACGAAACTTAGGACAAGATAGTTATTTGTTTCTTGCTTGTCTGTAGTCTTAGATACCGTTGGATAGTATCTAAGTGCATGTAAAGATACTAGTGTGTATGCACAGATATATATAAATGTATACACTGAGTATTTTGCACAGTTATTAAAACCAAAAAAGTCCCTCTTTTCACAGGTGACATAAAAGTTTCATCTGCTGCACACTGAAATACTTGGGTACTATCGGTTAACAAGAACTTTAGATTTTTTTTTCTTTAACATTGTCAAAAACTGCCTTGAAATAAGCTTGCCTTGTGCTTCTAACAATTCTTATTTTCTCTGACTGTCTCTAGTGTGCTGTTCTATGATATGTTGACTAACTTGTTCTAGTAACCATCACAGGTCTAATGCTGGTAAACATGTTAATCTGAATTTAAATCATCACTTTCTACCATATTACAATTCACCCTAAAATGTTGTAAATGTTTACTGCATTTTTTTCTTCATAGTATTCCTTTCAAAATGTGTTTATTCATTTTTTGTGTGCATAAAGCTTAGTTAATACATTAGTTTACTGTGTTTAGTATAATACAGTCTTTTTCTGTGGAAAAAAAGATATAAACAGTCATAAGAAATCTATGAGTTGGGTACTCGGAAAAATTATAACTGCTCTCACATAGATTTTGGTTTTAATTCTCATGCACTTATGGCTAAACTTTTAAGGAAGTGCTCATTTCCTCAGATCCCATTAGATCACTCAGGTTTTTGTATTACTAAATCATTATTTTCTTCTTTTAAAAGTATCGTACGGTGTGTACGTACTGCATGTGGCAGTATCTCGTTTAAGTAGGTAGAGATGTTTCTGTAACACTGGGGAAAAAACCAAATTCGACAGTACTGTACTTAATTCCACACATATATTCCATTAATCAAAGGAATAAATTAGCCAATGCCAGTTCATAGGTAACTATTGTGGTGTTTGCCCATAAGTAAAATTTCTGTGGGTGGTCTAACTTTGTCATTTATGTTTGGTATTTGAAAAAAAAAAAGTTATATTTTCACAAGATATTGTTACATAAGAGGTGCATCACTTTATACTGTACAAGACAACAGAATTACTTTTATTTGATAGGCTTATTGTAAACTATTTCAGAAGAAAAAACCCCATTAAACTGATTTTTTGCATGTATCCGATAGGATTCATAAGCTGCATTTTTCTTTTACCCTGTAGTTGGTTGACCGGGTATTTGATGAAAGTCTCAATTTTAGAAAAATCCCTCCACTAGTGCATGCCAAACCACCAGAGGGGAGTGATCGGCCTAATGGTGCTAGACCTCAGCTAACAGATGCCCTCGATCCCCCAACAATTACCCGGAGAAGGACTTGGAGCAGAGATGAAGTGAGTACACAACAGAAATCTCTCTAGTAATGTATCTATTTTAAGCTTTTACAATTGTTTCCCAACTTAATATTCTAGATATTATCCTTTCTTTCCTACCTGTAACAGGTAATATTAATACTGGAGAAAATTTTTTGTGTATTCTTTAATTTGCAAAATGTTCTAATACAATTGTGTATGATACTGATTAGAACACAAGTATGATTTTTAAAGTTAAAAAAAGGTTTCAAAATATATGAAATTGTTTTTATTTAGTTCCCATTAAACTAATAATGTCCTTTTTATTAAAAACTTATTGCAGGTTATGGGGGACAGCTTGCTGCTGTCCTCAGTCTTCCAATTTTCTCGCAAGATAAGACAATCCATAGATAAAACAGCTGGCAAAATCAGGTGGGTTTTTTAAAATCATTATTACTGAAAATGTTCTGCTCTCATCAGAATTCCTGCTAGTAGAAGAGGTATCTGTAATACAGATAGAGCAAATGTATTTAGTAGCAAGTTGCATTTTAAAAAAGCAATGTTACTCACCACTTCTTTAGCATTCAGAAAGATTTGGATGCATAATTTTTGCATTATTACTTTGTGTGTATTTCACATTATATGAAGATAAATATCAGCAAAGTTTACATGGACAGAAAATATCCGTCGTACTTCCAGCAGAGGAGCTGTTCTAACACATGCAAATGCAGTGCAAAATCTACACAACCAAGTCTCCTTAAAAGATAACATCAAAATGTTGTTGAACTGTAAAACTGGGCCCCGTACAGTTGCCAAGTTGTAGGGATCACACATTTCAGGAAGAAAAACAAATTGGACAGAAGAGAGCAGTTTTAGTAAATTATTCTCTGAACTTGCTCTGGAGACAATGCAGTCACTACTGAGTTTAAAATCTAAAATAACAGATGTAACCATCTGTTAATTTTCACTGAAAATTCCTGCTTAGATATTTAGGTTCCTGCATGAAATGTCATAGTAGCTAACAGGAAGTATAGACATGTCAAAAATAAGAACATGTTGCTCTACCAAGAGCTCTATTTTACAGTAAAAACTATAGGTTACCTGCCATTTCTAGTCATGCTGTTTCTAGTAGGAAGAGTATCACTGAGTGAAGAGTCAAGTCTTTAAAGCCTGCAGCTCATTCTTGTTATTTCTGTTCTAAGCTGTTTTGTGTGTTGTTTTTACTGGTGGTTACAGGTAACATCTGTGAGTACCTCATTTCCACAGCCTTGGAACGTGGTCGTGGACTGGCTTTCATCTCATTTCTCTTTTTCCAACTCGCCATTTTGAGGCTACAGGATTATAATATTCAAAATACGCCATTTGCTGCCTTTCCCTCGTTGGTTTCCCCAGATACATTCGTATTTTTATCATACTGTTGCTTTAAATATCCTTAAACAAAAGACATAAATGTCTTTTGCCGTGTAAATTTTGTATACAAGTGGGTTTATGAAATGCAGGTGTATAGATTTGTACTGAAAATCTGTGCCAGATTAACAGAGCTTAACTTCATTATGCAGAATTCATTACAAATTATGCAAAAGTTCACACCTTGTTCAAGTTTAATCAACATCTGAGTCCATGCTGTCATTTACTTTAATAGCTGATCTCAAAAAATGAGCAAATAAATACATGAAAAGAGGTACTTAAGCGTGACTATTTGAAAGTCATTCTAAAAAGTGTTTCAATAGAAACAAAATATTACATTAAGTTTTGTTTTGAACATAATTCTCTGGGGAAATGGAGTGACATTCATAAGGAACTTTGATTATCAATATATATTTTTTTTCCTTTTAAAGCTGCATCATTGGAACAAGACTCTTGCTTATTGACTGACTAATTTGTGGTAGGCATCTAGGATGATACGTATCTTAAAATGCTTCAGCAGCGGTAGATAGTAGATACTCTACTTTTTTCATCATGCTGATTTTTCTTGATGGTTGGCAATTTCTGATCTGTAAATACACTGCTAGCACAGCTCTAGTTCATGTAATGTAAAAAAGTGAGTTCACTGCAGTGAGTTAAAACAGATTTATGTATGCAAATTCATCCTGAGAAAAGCAGGTAACTATAAAATCAAGTCTTACACTTAAAAGTTAATTCAGCTACTTGTAATGAATGTAATAATTATGTGATCATGTATGATATTATAAATAGAAGCATACCTATAAACATTTTATATACATTTAAAGAAAGTGGCATTGCTTATTTCTATAAAAATACAGTGGAGAAACTTTAATTATTTATTGTATTTCGCAGAACTGTGATCAAAACCACCTTTTCCTGCTACTCAGAATGGATGTGAATAATATGATGTTATTCATAATGTCATTAGTATTCTGAATCAGAAAAACAGCAGTAGTTTTAGAATTGTTTAGAGAGCATGCAAGGCAGCTAGGACCTATTACAGATTTTACCTTAGCTTTGTTTCGATGACCTATGAAATGGGAACCTTTCAAATTGTCAGAGACAAGTAAGAACATTATTTCTTAAAGAGAGTAAGACTGAAAACACCACATACAAAAGCAAAGACATTATTCACGTACATAAAGATACAAGTATTTTAATAGAACATGAGCAAGGTAAATGAAAAAAGAAAACAAGCAGTGTCACAATAACTTCTCTGTTTTTTCTACCAGTGCTGTTTACTGCTAAATAAAAGCCTTTTTTCTATGCTCCTGCTGATTTCCAGAGTGATATAAATGCTATATCCCATTATTCCCATTCCCATAGGTATGGGAAGTATAGCTGGGTAAGATTCTCTGTATACTGAATCCAAGTATTTCCAGGAGTTGCCTGGTTTTTCTAGTGTAAGAACCTGTAAAGGATTTAATTTGCTCTGCTTTTTATTTATTTATTTTAACTCATCAGTGTCAGGCAAGTCCTAAATTTTTTATTGTAATTGCACTTTCTGGTGTTCAGGTTTGCAGCTGTGTGGCTTTACAAGCTTTTGCACTCCAGGTCATAAAAGCAATCTTGTCAGATCTCTGATGATCAGCTTTGTTACAAGATGATGACGTTACTTGAGGCCATAAATTGTTCTCTGTGTTCTTCACTGTAGTTTTGATTACTTTTAATTAATTTTTTCCTTTCTCAAGAAGAAGTACCTATTAATGATTACTCTTCGTATGCTTTGAACATTAACACGCTAAAGTCACTTGCAGAAGTGGTCACTTGCTCATGAGAGCAGCACTTCCTCACAGTGAAACATCTGACAAAAACATGTTCTGAAGCAGCAGCAGCAAGTGAAGACCTGAAAGACAGAAGAAAAGTTAAAGCAGCTTCTGGATGGGCTGTCTACAGACACATATGTACTGATAACATAAGGCAGGGCACACGTTTTGAAAAACATAACTTTCTTGACTGGATAATAATAAAAAGTGGGATTTTCCATAGGGCGTCAATAACTGAAGAAAGATTAACTAAAATGCAGTACTAAGTCTCCCAGCTTTCTTAGTCTTAATGCGATGCAAGGTACCATGAATTTCCGTGTTAAAACCATTTCCTCAGAGACCTATCTACACTTGTAACATCTTTGTAATGTACTACTTTTCTGTCATGTTTTTAAATTGGTTTGTTTGCTTAGCAGTTTTATTGCAGCTGTTTTTGTGCTTTTAAATCCAAAATACCAATTAGAGAAGAATTGGATTTGGACTCTGTGCCACCATGGTGTCACTTAAAAATTAATACCCACACCTTAAATATCTGCAGTTTATTTTTTTTTTAATTGTGCAAGTGTAGACAGATTAAATGATGTTTATGATACGACAATGAAAACAAATATTAGTTATCACAGCAGGGAAGCAAAACATAAAAGAGGGGGACACTCACAGTATGATTTGGGTTTTACAAATAATAGAAGTGACTTCTTTAAGCATGTAATACAAGTGATACATTACTAAATCATGTATATACAATTTTTGTGTTGACTTTTCAATGAAAACTTCTATGAAATGCATTTTTCTTCTTATTTCCTGAAATGTATTATTTTTCATCAAATTAATATAAAATTCAAATGTAAAAGAGTTGCATTTATTCACCATTTTTTAAATCTCTCTCATCTGTTTTGTAATTGTTGTAAAATGCAACAATAGGGAATTCTCTGACTACTATAAAATAGTTGGATTTTTAAAAACATGTTTCAGTGCTGGAGGAAAGTCAGCTGTGTGTTTTCAGCATCATAAACAAGCATTTAACTACAAAACTGCCATTTTCATGTCAATAATAATGATATTGCTGAAACCCGGTATGCTTTCCTAAAAATTTAAACTGGTTGGTTGGATTCTGTCAGTTTTCAATATTTCATATTTTAGTTCTATTCAGTGCTCTCTATGCTGCTTTCTTGCATTGTGTATCTAATATTTCAGTTTTATTTTATTTTTTTATTTTAAACATAAACATGTTCTTGAATTTATTTCTTCTAGAATATTATTTAAGGACAAAGACAGAAATTGGGAAGAAATTGAAAACAAGTTGCAAGCTGAAAGTGAAGTTCCTATTGTGAAAACATCAAGCATGGTATGAATAGTTATTTTTTCTGGGATTGAATAATGAATATAAGTTATATAACTGCTAAATAACCACTAGAGGAAGGTGTTATCTTCAGTGATGTAAAGGCAAAAATCTTCCAAAGGTTTTACTTAGACAGTGTATTTCAGGAATAAACGTAATATTTTTTAATAATTACTAGGGTTTAACTGTCTGGTAAAGAAACAGCCTTAAGCAGTTGTTCAAGGGAAATTCTCAGATGAAGAACGCAATAAAAGCATACAGACTTTATATAGACCATCATTACTTTTGTTTAACGAAAGCTAGCAACCAGTGATTTGAATGTTGGATTGCTTTCAAATGAACTTTAACAATCTAAAGACTACTTTACGTACTGATTATTAGTACTCTAACAGATAATACTTAATTTCATTAATGTTGATTATTGCTATTTAGATAAATAGTTGGGTTTTGCTATATGTGAGTGAAAATAATCTGTAGATGCATTGCAATAAAAGCAGTCTTCAGTGCAAAATAACTTTGCTGTTACTTCATCATGAGTTAAACTCAGCCAGATTGATTTTTTTTTCCTGGAAGTATTGAAAATTTCGCCCATAACTTCTGCAGAATGGTGTATTTTTAAGACCAATCATTAGTAACTCAGTGTTGTATTTTAATAGGTACGCTGACAGTTTGAGGGGTTTTAAGTTTAATTAAGCAAGTTACTAATGGAAGTTTGGTTTTTAGAAATAGGATAATATAATGTTTCTCTTATCCTATCCATTTCCAGAATAAGGTTGGAGTTTAGTGTTTTATACTGTAATTGCCATGAATATGTGATTTTAAGACATTCATTAAAAAAAAAAAAGTTGTGTAACTATTCCTAAATTCAACAATTTACAATATTTTTTTCTCAGTACCTTAAAGCATCTCACATTGTTTGAAATTGTATGGGGTTTTTTTTTCTGTGCATTGACTTTTAGGTTTCTGCTCAGTTTTCAAAGGAATATATTTTTCAAATCCAGTACTAAAGCAGTGCTTATTTTTACCAGAGAATGTTAAATTAGAATTAAGAGGACAATTGTAGCTGATGTTTGTTTTGTCCCTGGAACATTTATGTCCAGCTCAGATGTGGAATCTGCTTAAAGATAATGACTTTGTGAAATCCAAGGTAATCAATCTGTTTACCACTCACAAATATCACATAACTTAGTACAGAATGGGTTTCTGAAATGAGTTTCTGAAATCGGTGCCTTTGAAAATTCTCAGCTTTTGAAGAATGCTGGTAATAGCTCTCCTCAGCAGCTGGATTACCAGTAGACTTCAATGAGGGACTTTCAACTGTAGGATTTACATAGTTATAATTTAAGATGTGGAACCTTTAATGAATGTTGTGTATCTGAGTGTGCTGCTGTGGCTACCTCTGTGTTAGCAAGTAGTGCAGCACACAGCAGAAAAATCTGTAAGGCCAAAGAGCGCTGAGGACCCAACACTGGTGTGCTGTACAGTGTCTCATTGGCACACGGCCCAGTGATTGCAGACAAAATCCCAGTGTAGTCATCTTGCTGTTCTCAGTCGCATTTGAATGAGATGATGAATCTCCTTATTGCATGAATACTCTAATTTCTTCTAAAAGTTTGCTGAAACTTTGCCCCATTTCTACAGAATCATGATGTCTGTAAGTCCGTGAGAACAACTAGCACAGGCAGACAAGCAAGGGACAGAGTGAGATTTGTTGACCCTAGCAATCAGCCAATGCATAGGAGTTCTTGATTCACAGAATCAGAGAATAGTTGGAGTTAGAAGGGACCTCTGAAGATAATCCGGTCCGACCCCCCTGCCAGAATAGGATCACCCACAGAAGATCACACAGGAACGTGTCCAGGCAGGTTTTGAATGTCTCTAGAGAAGGAGACTCCACAACCTCTCTGGGCAGCCTGGTCCAGTGCTCTGGTACCCTCACAGTAAATGTTTTTTTCCTTATGTTGAAGTTGAGCCTCCTGTGTTCCAGTTTGTGTCTGTTGCCCTTTGTCGTGTTGCTGGGCACAACCAAGAGTCTTTTATGCGTGGGCCATGGCTGTCCAGCCTCAAGCACTGCTGCCCAGGACCCTTGGTGGACATGGCTGGGCCACCACCACCAAAGGTGTTCTTGATGCTAGGAGAGACAACCCAAAGAGCGTATTGCAAAGGTTGGGGAGGAGGATTGTTTACTACTGATAGGTAGGTTCAGTCTTTTTTCTTTAATTAAGCATTTTTTTTCTTTCATAGGAAATATCATCAATCTTACAGGAACTGAAACGAGTTGAGAAACAGCTGCAAGGTACAAATCTTCTTTTACTTTTCTCTTTCATTGTTGCTCACTTTAAATTTTTAATATATCTATATGTATGTATATCATGAAACAGTTATCACATTTTATTAAAATATATTTACAGTGTTAGTTACATACATTAATATCTTATAATTGCTGACACATTTGGTAAAAAAAAATAAATTACTAAATTATTTTAAAACAGAAGACTGATGATAACTTCTTACATGGGTGAGAAAAGGCTCAAATAGAATTCCAAAGGAATTATTTTTGAAACAATCTTAATAGAAATATTGAGGAGTAGGTGACAGAGAATCCTGAGATTAGGCTTTATAAAACAGTCTTTGTGTATCAGTAATACCCTCATGTGTACCACAATTCAGAGTAAGGAATGCAATAGGACTATAAAGTATAAGAAATCTCAAAAAACCCCATACCTTTATCTGAAACAATAAAATGAAAATTTAGGATTAGCTCTTGATACCTTCCTTTGACACTACTGAATCCATCCACTCTTTGCAACTACGGAGCCCACGGATTACAAAATAGAAGTCACTTTGCTTTTCACTTGCGACAACTTATCTATGTATAAAATGGAAAGTAGTATGTTGTACTTACAAAGTCTGCTATTTAGGCATACTTTCCATTTATCAAAATCAACTTAAAACTGAGTATGTTTTTAAAAGAAGTTGCAGACTTATTTGTGTTTTGTTTATACTTAGTTTATTGTTTAATTTGGAGGGATCAAATGGATTAGTGGTCCATGCTTGTATAATCATATTTGTTGTAAGTTTCCTATATATTTCCTATATATGTGTTATTTTTAGTATTCAGATTTAATCCTACAATAAAACATTTTTAGAAAAATAATGTTTCAGGCAGAATCATAAGCCAGCTTTAGAGGCAAATCAGTATTTGTTTCATTCTCAGCTATAATTGGAAAATTTTAATTTATTACTAATTATATTGTGTTTAGAGAACATAAGAAAGAAATGAGGCCCAGAGGAAGAGACCAAATAATTTCCCTGTGTACGCATTGAATAGACGTTAGTTTTGGAAATAAAAAATAGAGAGGTTCTGTTAAATGTGACAGATATTTTAATAGTACAGTAAAATGGAATTGTACTAGGGGCTTTGGTTTGCCCTCTATGTGGAGGGAGAGGGACAATAAGTCCATCATTTATGCATTAAAAAGGATAAATGATTGCTCTTTTATACAAATTTCATTCAATCATGGAATTAGCAGCTGTGGTGGAATGAAGCATAGTATCATAGTAATATTAGAGAAAAAGCCCCTTAAACATGACTAAAATTATCTTCCAGTCCCTATAAATTAATCATAGATGGTTTGTCAACTCTTCTGCCCTCTCATCAGGCAGTGTTTAGTTTGTGCGGTTCGGTTTCATCTAAAGTTTTAATATATGTAAATGCGTTTAAATATATGTATCAGCTACATATATGTTGGATACACCACTCCTTTGTAGTGGGCAGCACACATAAAAGCTCTTGCCTGTCATCATAGAAATAAAAGTGTCAGAATAGGATTTTTGTATTTGTTATGGTAACAGAAATTTGTAATTTTTATGGTTTCTTCCCTATCCCTTTCGTGTTTTCTTGATTGCTTAGCAATTAATTCTATGATCGACCCTGATGGTACCCTGGATGCTCTGAGCAACCTGGGATTCGGCAGCCCCATCTTACCAGCTCAGCCGAAGTTGAAGTCCAGTCCATTTTCCCAAAGCGCTCGCCCTCAAGTGCAGCCAAACTGCCAGCCTGAAGCTCGGGCTCTTCAACCCGCCACCGGCCTTGTCACAGCTGAATTTGAGAATGCTGAATCCGAGTTGGATTTTAGCATACATTTCAACAGGTTTAACCCAGAAGGGGAAGCGGATGATGCCACCCTGCACGAGTGACATCTCAATGTTGACAAAAAAACCTTTCATGTGGAATGTTTAGGAATAAAGGAAAAATTATAATATTGGTTTTATAATTTTTAAAACAAAAAGGCTTGGTCAAACAGCAGTTGTTTTATTAAACCAGTTTTCTTTACTGTGATGCTTTGATTGTCACACAAATCCTTTTCAAATCATAAAGATATGCATAGATACCAGTGTAGGAAAGCAGATTGTGGCAGGTTTGCCCTTTGTGGTTGTGTGCTTTGCAAAAGAATTATTATATCAGCAGTTTTCCCTTAATAGATTTATTTCTTTTTAAAAGCCATGCAAGCAGTCTAACATTTAATGTTACTGAAACCCCAAATCTCTTTGCCAAGCTGCTCTAATGAATGGACTTCCTCCGCTAAAGTTTGTACAGAACTGTTGAGCAGTTGCATTTGATTCTGAATTAGATGATTTATATAGGAAACATTATCTTTGACTACAGTGACACATTACTGCAAAATCTAAGACGGATCTCAGAAAGCATTCATTCTTATGTACTGAAAATCTCAAACAGTTCTGTGATTTATATAATCTTGTTGCTGCGTAAATTGTCTTGGGGTTTACAAAGTTCACGTGTTATGTTTGCACTAAGATTTGCTGGGAGTGGTAGGTGAACATATCGATATCATTAAACAGCAAGCAGTGTTTTGGTGTACATGGAAGACTGATAATACTGTACTTGTATTATCACTGCAGTGTTTTAAACCACTTTCTGAGAGGACTAATTGGCACTTTTTGATCTTCTTCAAATGTCTTTTTGATGTTAATAAAAGTAGAAGTATTTCATATCCCATTTCTGTCCAAATGTTTTTTGAAACTAGGAAACAAATTTAAACAATGGGACATTTTAAAGCATGTTTAGGTAAATGGGCTCTCACCAATTCAAATGCAACATAAGCTTACAGAAGAAATTACTGTTCCTTGGAATGATAATGAGATGTAAAATTTTCTTTAGGGGACTTGGAAATAAAATTGTCATAATTTGCTTGATCGATAGATGCACTCCCAAGCAAATGATTTTATTTGTTTCTGTATATTTTCCTGTAGTCTTAGTAGTAAAGCTCTCTCTGTCTTACATATTTAAAAGGATTCTGGAAGATGACTGCTAACATAGACATTTTGCTTCTACAACAGAAAAGCAAGTCTATTTAAAGTTTCCTATATAAGCCTATTTTCCTTATAAGTTGTCCCAGTAACTTAACATTTGGAAATGATAGTAACAATAAAAGTAAATTACTTTGTATTTCCAGAACACTGTAATTTGGAGGAATGTTATTTCTGTTAAATGTAACTAATAGACTGGAATTTTCTTATGTTTGCATCAGTCTCTATATTAAGGTTAAAGATACAGTTTTGCAGCTTTTATGAAATGGTCTTTAATATTTCAGCAATAATCCTGTATGACATTTGTTTAAAAAAACTACTTTCTGTACACTTTTAAACTGTACAGGCTTTCAGAAGTCAGTAAAAGTTGGACCAGTTAATAAAAATACAAAAACTTTTTTTGTAGAGTTGTAAAAACAAAACCACTAATCTGTTGTATAATGGATTTCATATTTTCTTTTAAAAAATTAAAACCAAACAGCCTTCATGTATGACTCAATATGCTCTACTCCAGCTAACTGTGGAAGCCTGAACTACACTAGTTTACAGAGGCTACAAGAGAAGTTATAGAAGGTGCAGAAGGGCAAAAATAAATTGGAACTAGAGCTAGGTGTTGAAAACAGAGTGTACCAAACCATCACCATAATTCCTTCTTTCATTTAATGCTTGGGAACACGATTTTTCCACAGACTCGAGTGGGAAGTAGGACATGGCTGGGAAGGATTAAAGGTGCCGGCTCTTCATGCGAGATTCTGTTTGTGTTTTCAGGCATTTATACCTTTATGTTCTGTAATAAGCATTTTACATTACTGTGTTCTTATTTTGTATGAACATGTTCTCCTTATTTATTTTTGTTACATTTATTATGTATGTTATTTTGTTATATGCATTTACAACAACTCCATTTTTAAATAAAGTGTTTCTGGAACTTTATGAATGTGTGAATATATAATTGAGATCTGGGAAGTTCACAGTCTTCCAGCAGTCTAACCTCACTTTACTGAAATTGGAAATGGCATTTTTTCATAAACTTCTTTTCTCTGAAAAAAAGTTATATTATTGCTGCTGCTGCATCATTTATTCTGTGCTGACAATATTGGCTCACTTCCCTGTACTTGGGTTCATTTCCACACTTGAATTGATTTTTTGTGTGCAAAGCCAGAGGCAAAAATAATCCAATATGCCAGTCATCAAATAGTGACTGTGTTTCCCTTTGTAGAACACAAGTAAATGATTTTTAATGCACCTGCCAGGTGCAACGGTAGATGCTTTTCAGACTGCTTTCCTTCTGCTTCATATACTGGAAAACTTCATTGAACATTTTGATTTTGCTACAGACTGGTGCCTTTTTTTCTTCTGTCCCAGCTTCAACTCCATGCGTACTTTCTTGCAGGATGCTAAACTTCCTCTTCCTCTTCTCTCAATCATGAGAGAACGAAACAGTGAGTTTAGTATAAAGCTCCCAAGAATTCCTTCCCAGCTTACACATTTCTGTGTTGCTGAGCTTTGCTGTGACTTGGCAGCAGCCAGCTCTGATCTTGCTTCTGTGACCCTATTTTATTTCTTTCCACGTAATATTTTCATCTGTCGACAATACTTTGAGCCCAGGTCAAGCATGGATGTTTTTCAGAAGTACTTAGGAAATCCAGGAAGATTGCATCAGTGCTCTACTTCCTTTTGACACCAGCAAGTGGGGCTGACATGTAGGGGCACAGAGAAAGCGGCATTCAGGCTTTTTCTGATCAGCACTGTTGATTCCTCCTGTAGCTATGTGCACTGCTCTAATTATACACCCAACAAATAGTTCTAAAGACACTTGCATCTAGTTGTAGCATGCAGAAATAAAGCTAAGAGTATAATTTGTGTGCCTGACCTGATAACAGCAAGATGGTGTTTCACTGCAGAGTGTATGCTATACCACAAGAAACTGGTACTTCAGTCTCAGAAGAGAATGCTGCTTCATACCAAAAACTGAATTTCAGTCAATGCCCGATGGAAGGCCTCTGTAATTTTAACTGGAAAGATGTCAAGCACAGAAGACATCCACAATTACTGCTTTGATATGCAGCCATGAAAGAAAAGGGTATGGAGGGTGAAGCATTCTGTGAAATGGTGTGTGCTGTAAAAGAAGACCACTCGCTACGTGCCAAGGAGATTTTATACCCCCCCCGTCTTTTGCATCTGAAGAGAGTTACAAAGAATAAACTTAGCCACTCACCATACAAATGCTTAGCTTCATCTTGAAGAATAATCAAATTTTTTAAAGTGTGAGAATGTCATCTTTGGCTTCAAATAGAGCACGTCTGTAGATGCTGACAGGGTTACAGTCCTGGCAGTTCAGCCATGCTTGCTGGATACCAAATGCATCTGACAATACTGGCCTTGGCAATATTGCCAAAGGGCAGTTGCCTAATGCTAAAAAGAGCATTTCCAGCTGCACTAGCTCAGTAAAACCATTTTTGTTTTTGACTTGGTAAGCCTTACCCAGTGCTGTTCCTGCAAGAAACAGAGAAGCTGGGGACCGCGGTGTTTTCTTTTCAGATTCTTTCATCACTACTCATGTATTTCTGGAGGAAAAGATGCAGTTAATAAGTGAGTGGGATTTTGCAGCCCCAGAAATACTTTAAAGCAGGATAAGATAACCAGAAGCCTGCTGTCAAAGATCTTGATCTTCACTTGTTCCAAGAAGACCAGAGTTAATAGTGAAAAAATAAACCCAATGCTTACTTTGGTTTGCTGACAACTTCACGAGCAGTTACTGTTTTGTGAGATGTTCACATTCTCACCTCACATCTGAGGAGAGCTCCTAAAATGACAGGGTATTACAAAATGCTCGCTTTGGGGAGGCTGTATTAAATTAGGAGTTTGCAGTTATTCAGTATCCTCATGGGAACACAGGGCAACCTTTTCAAAAGTTGTGCTTGCAAAAATTCTTCAAGCACTGGGGCCTTAGGGATGGAGTGAAGGGATAAAGGTTTATCCCATTGCAGGGATAAACCACTTACCAATGAACATGTGTTCTGTTGCTCTAGTCCATCAATTCCTTAGGGCCAGCATTTTAAACCCATTTTAAAAATTAATACATGTTTATAATTTATACGGTTTTCTGCTCTTATGGAGTAGATAAAAGCACTATCAAGACTCTAGTGGTCTTTATATTATATTAAAAACAACAGTTTAGCCGCAGCATGATTTATCTTTCAAGCAAACTGTGGTCTTTCTGAGCAGAAAAAGCTGACATAATAAGGATTTTTTTTAAAATGTGCAACGTGAGGTTTCTAAGATCTGTATGTCCACTGTCTTCTGCTTTGTTTCCAAACATGCAAGGATATATGCAGACCAAGCTCCTCATGGCATTGCTGCTGTCAGTATGATGGATGGCTGCTAAAATGGTCATCTACAGAAATCAACTTTTTTAATGCAACTTATGCGATGTTCTTAACACCTTACAAGTTGCTTTCTTCCCATTACAAGTCTCAAGTAAAAATGTTGCTTTAGTGATAACTTGAGTTGATTTCCTAAATGCACAACCTACACAAAGACAGCTGCTTTCCAACACCTTTGCACATTTAAAAATGCTGATTTTTATTGAAAAATCACATCCGACACTTCACTGAAGTTACTACTCCGAGGGCAGCAGAACTCCAAATCTGAAAGCCCAGCTTAGCGGCTTATCTCAGCTCTGCCATCGGCACCAGGGGTCCTGACCGTTGGATTGGTGCTTTGGGCTGCCTGAACAGGGTTTGCTCTTTTATGGAAGCAGTATTTGCCACTTGGCGTTTTTGAAACTATGTTTATAGGATTCCAAGCTGTTTGAGTATCTAAATGTCTAACTTTGGCCAATTTAAGTATTTATCAAAGTTCAAAGTGACATTAACATAGAAAGCCATTGTTCTTTTTTAATGATGAAGTGATTTTATTTAGAAAATATGTGGTTTTTATGCAACT